CGTCGTTACACGGATACGTGTCATCGACATTCGACTCTATTCCGCTCCTGGCAGATTACTGTTCGTCGATTGGCGACTGGAATCACTCCGCCGTCGGCTCACGGATTCGTGAGACCGACACTGATAAGGCCCGCAGCACCGTTAACCGCATCCGAAATCGCGTCCGCATGAGCCAAGCTCGTGGAATCATAAAGGAAACTCCGAAAGCTAAGGTCCCGTGTACAAGGACCGGCGGACGCATCACATACGCCGAAACGACTCAAGTCCTCGCGACAAGAGATCGAAGGGACCGCCGCTAAGGCAATATCCCGCGTGCAGCCACGCTGCAATCTCAGCGACCGCGGACATTATATGATTCCGAAACGCCGATAAAATCGCGGAAGAAGTGTCAACCGTACCTAAGAGATAAGCCGCCGAAAGAAATATCAACAGAATAAACTCGCGAATACGCGACACTGACGTCGTCCGTATCCCGCGCACCGCGCGTCACATCACGCAAGCCGGCGTCTAAACAAACCTCTGTCAAGCGATACAAACAACCAAAACCAACGGCGTCGACACGTATTATTCGCTCTATATATTGTCGTTATCGTCAGCTTAGTATTTAAATATATTATTCATTATTATTTTTAAAAACACTGTTCTTTTCAATTATTCCGCTTATCACGAACCCGATCCGACAAGCGATTCGAACCCGCAACGAATCGCGGTTACAGTATTTTTTGATTAATGAAATGAATAAAAGCCGGGATCGGCAACTTCGGAGAGGATTGTTAACACAGGTCCGGTTACAAGGCCAAGCGAGCGGAATCGCGAGGATCCGGGACGGATGTTTGGGGAAAACCTGAAATGAAAAAAGAAATTCTAGATGTATCGGTGATGTATACTTACCAGGTCCGAGATCCGAAGTCCGAGGTCCAAGGTCCGAGACACGACGAGCTGAAAAAAAAAAAAAAAATCCGTCATTAATTATCAGTCTACTTACCATAGTATACTTACCAGCGTCCGAGGTCCTATGTCCGGGTGCCCTGCAACAGAAAGAAAGGTTTTAGTATCCGTCCCGGATCCGAGCGACGTTCGGTCAAGCGCGAGAGTAGCCGTGCGTAGGAGTCGCGAGTACAGCGAGTACTTTGGGCGACGAGTAGGCGCCGAGCCGTCACGCGTGCGGGAGAGATAATTAGTCGTACCCACACGGGCGGGCCGGCGTGACCCCGTCGTCGATGCGAGATGTAGGACGATCCGACGCACGCGGGGATCGATCGAGCGTCAAGCGCGAAATGCGCATTGATCGTTAAAAATGTGACTTTATTATTTCGTAGACCATGGTATGAGCGATCGTTATTCGCCATTTAGTATTTTATTATTTCATTATTTGATTATTTTATTTTATAAAATAATCGGCGCGAAGACCGCGGCGCGAAGACCGCGACTCGCACGAGTAAGGTGGAGGCGCCAGGAGAGGGTACCGCATGAGGTTTACGGAGATTTATATTTTATAACCGAGAGTTTATGATTTTCTGTTTACGTTTGATATTCATATATATATATATATATATATATATATATATAGTATTACAACGCGAGCGTGATTCCGGGTCAGTGAGCGGAAATTATTTTACACGCGACTATGATGCGATACAGTTGCCTAGTCACGCGTAGTAATATATATTTGTAATTGCCTAAATTTTACATTTATATATTTATATATATATATATATATATGTATATATACATATATATATATATATATATATATATATATATATATATATGCATAAGTACGTACATTGATGTCGAGACATACCATGTACTGCAAGAAAAATTTATTTTGTAAAGGGTCTAGAGAGATCGAGGTTGTGGTCGCTGCGCGCACTTGACTCGTTATTCGGCCAGGACACCACACCGCTAGGGGCGCGAGCTCCGTGCGATGTGAGGTCCCGAGCGCAGAATCTAAATCTGCCTCTTTCACGTTAGTCGAAAAGTGGACGTCGAAGGTGACACATCCATCCGGTGAAAGCAGCGCATAACGACGACGACGACGATCTCTCCTGTACCCAGAGGCTGCGAGAAGTAAGGCAGTTCAATAAATGCGCTTGCTGAGCGACAATCCGGTGAGTTTTAGTTATTAATACTCCCTCGATTTTCTCATTCCTTCGTGCGGAAGTGATAGACGGCGGTAGCCTGTAAGACGCCGTTGTTCAGAACGAGTTCAGAACATCGTTTATATATTATCGTTCAGAAGATCGTTAATATATTAAAGAAAATACTAAAGTATTGCTAGCATTGATTTGTAAAATCCCGGATAAAATTGAACGCACGTGACAGAACTTATTACTCCCTTGCCTGTATCTTCCGATGTCCGGTTACAAGGTCACCATCCGGTGTTCACTCCGAACCCAACAACTTTTGTAAGGGTTATTTGGATTGGTGGCTCCTCGACAAGATATGTATTCAGGTACATAATTTCAAAGATTTTGTCCTTAAAATAAACTCGGAAGATCATTCCAAAGAAGAGCCTCAAGTACCCATCTAAACGTAAAATTTTGCTCTCTTTCCGAATCCGGGGTCAAAAATGGGGGTTTCTATTTAAAAATTCGATTTGATCTTCAAATGACCTTGAAGGTCAAGGTCAAGGTGAAATTGGAAATCACCATCGGATGTCCCCCTCCGAACCCAACAACTTTTGTAAGGGTTATTTTCAGATTGGTGGCTCCCCTGACGAGATATTCAGGTGCGTAATTTAAAATAGGACACCCTATATATATATACATATATTTTTTTTTTTTTTTTATTCATATATTATATATCTTTTATAATATAAATATATTATATATTAAATATTATATATTCTTATGTAATATAATAAATACAAATTTGGTATAAAATTATATAAATATCTTATTTGGTGTTTTTATATTTTTTTTGCAAATCAGATTTTTTTTCTTGTTACTTTAAAAATTGTTGGTTTTTATATTATAGCAAAGTTGTATAACTTTTTTTTTAATATAATAATTTATTTGAAGAGGAAATGAAAAAACCTGTTATTGACGATTAAAGAAATATTATAATAATTTTTCATGTATTTTAATGATAACTGCAATTTATGATCACGGATGCACATACAAAATATCTTTCACATAGTAAAATAGAAATCACAAGTATGTGATAGTTTACTTAATAGCCGTTGTTTGGTCCTGGCGGCGCTGCAGATGTTGACAGACGTTTTGCTGCAGACATAATATAGCGGCTAGCGGTCCATGGTTATATAGTCAAAGGTCGGAACGCAACCAATGGTCCAATTAGGAGAACTTGAAAAACAAGTCCTCTGATTGGCCTATCAACTGCGTTCCGATGTCCGACAGCGACATACGACGTATTGTAGAACAGGCCTAAACAAAATCGAGTCGTTATTGGTCGTGATGTAAGGTGTAATAAAAAGAAATCCATTATTTTTGCATGAAATTGAAGGCTTTATTTAGCATAGTTAGAATGATTCGATTTAGGTCAAATATGCACCGTTTTGTTCGATAACTTGTTGCCATTTTAAAAGTAATTCCATTATGCCTCTCTCATAGAAACCCTTGTCCCTATTGGCAAAAAACTGTGACAGTCGATTTTCACAAGCTTTTCTTGAGGCGAATTTTTCACCAGCAAAATCATTCGCCATAGACAGGAACAGGTGGTAATCACTTGGTGCCAGGTCCGGCCTATAAGATGGATGCATAAGAACCTCCCAACCAAGCTCCCGGAGCTTCTGGCAAGTCACTATCGATGTGTGTGGCCTGGCGTTGTCCTGATGGAACACAATTCCTCTCCTATTGGCCAAAGCTGGCCGCTTCTGGGCGATTGATTCCTTCAGACGGTCCAATTGTTGGGACGGACAGTACAGGTCCGAATTAAGAGTTTGGCCGTAGGGGAGCAGTTCATAGTGGATGATTCCCTGCCAATCCCACCAAACACACAGCAAAGCCTTCCTGACTGTCAACCCTGGCTTGGCCACCGTTTGCGCCGGCTCACCGCGTTTCGACCACGACCGTTTTCGCTTGACGTTGTCGTAAGTGACCCACTTTTCATCACCAGTCACCATCCGCTGCAGAAATGGGTCGATTTTGTTGCAATTCAGCAGCGATTTGCAGATGGAAATTCGGTCCATGAGGTTTTTTTTGCGTTAACTCGTGTGGCACTCATACATCGAGCTTCTTTTTGTATCCAGCCTTATTCAAGTGGTTCCAAACGGTTTTTTGTGCAATGTTTCGACGAAACCAAAATTGCGCGTGATTGGCTGTTACAGTATCAGGACCATAAACACTATTCACATTTTCAGCCCCCTGGCTTGCATTTTCGCCTTTATCGAAGAAAAACTGTAAAATATGGCGTATTTTCTCTTTGCTGATGTCCATCTTTGACGCGCGCTCAAACAATACTGAGTCAAACAATCACAAAACTGTCTGAGAAGTTTTTTTAGTACGAAATCTTATCTTTCTAGTGCCATCTAACGTAAACCGATCGCACTTAAACAAAGCGAGATACACATTACTAAAGCCATCTATTGGAAAAATAACGGATTTCTTTTTACTATACCTTATATATATCACGACCAATCACGACTCGATTTTGTTTATGGTTACGGATACGGATATGTTTACGGATCATTGGACCCGCACCTTATGGCTCCTGCACACAGGACGCGGTAATGCTTGCCGCGCGGCGGAAGTTCGCGCGACAGCCAATCAATATGCTGCTTTCCGTAATAACCTTCTAGTTGTTACGGAAAAGCAACATATTGATTGGCTGTCGCGCGAACTTCCGCCGCGCGGCAAGCATTAAGGTGCCAATACATAAAAGCGTTCTAGCGTCGAGCGTTAAAGCGTTAGCCAATCAACGTATCAGGTCCTAGAAGTATACTTGTAGTTTTTGCGGAAAGTGAAACGTTGATTAGTTACCGCTTTAACGCTCGGCGCTCGATGCTCCCATGTAAAGGTACCTTTACCGCGTCCTGTGTGCAGAAGCCATTAGTGGCGTAGGGTCGCGCGACTATAAGCAATCCAAGCCAAGTAAGAAGGAAGGAAGCCCATAACAGAGTTTGGAACCCTGGCTAGGCCTGTAACCAACAAAAGAGAGAGTTCTGTTGTCAATACATTGTGTCAATACATTTTTTTATATCTTTATAATATTTTGTGACATTTAACTCTCTGAATTATGGGATGCGATGGTGGCACCATACCTCGCAGAGACGAGCTCGTAAAAAGAAAAAAGAAACCAGTGCAAGTGAGATGAGAAAATTAATATTTATATATATATATATATATATATATATATATATATATATATATATATATATATAATATAACCTTATAATATAACCTTATATATAACATAACCCATTCAATTATTGTCAATAAATGTCCACAATTTTCTGAAAAATTATTAATAAAACTATAGATATTCAAAATTCTATTCAAAATTTTGTAATTGAATATAAAACTAAATATTGCTACATTATATTCTAACCTTGTAACAATAAGATCCAAGAAGATAATATTTAATTTGTAAAAATGTGCATTTGCAGAAAGACAAAGAAGCGGAATTGGCCTTCAAATGGAAACACTGTACAATACGACAGTTACCATTGCAGCTACCAGTTGTGGGTTGTATCTTGGGACGTTTATATAGTAAGGAATCTGTATTGGAAGGTCTCTTGGATCGCAATACTTTGCCTGAATCAGCTGTACATATCAAGAATTTGAAGGATGTAAGGAATCTTAACCTGACACCCAACCCAGCGTTTGATAGTGATAGGGCTGAAAAAAGTGATAGTTACATGAATGGAGCCAAAAATCCATACATCTGTCCAGTTATTGGTTTAGAAATGAATGGAAAGTACAAGTTCTGCTTCTTGTGGTCATGTGGCTGTGTGATGAGCGAACGTGCACTGAAAGAGGTAAAAAGTTGGGTAAGTTGCATGTTTTTTTTTTATATGCCAAAAGATAATAAAACTTCACGTAAATGTGTTTAAAATAAAACACGAATTACATTGTGTAAAATTTCTCGCAGTCATGTCACAGATGCCAAGAGCCATATGAGGAAATGGACATAGTTGTATTGAACGCAGAGGGCGACGATTTGGAACTCATGAAGGAACGTGCAATACTTAGGAAAGCTATCCAGAAAAAATCAAAGAAAAGAAAGTCTAGCAACGATGTATTGGCTGAGGGAACGAGCACGGACCAGTTGTCATCAAAGAAGAAGACAAAGAAGGAAGACAAGGTACTTCCGCAGTCGAACAGCAATCGAAGCGAGGCGGCTGATCCGGCTTATAAGAAAGCTAAAAGCGATTATAGCATCGCAAAAGATCCTAAAGCGTCGGAAGTGTTCAAAAGCATTTTCACTTCGCACAAATCTGCTGTGGAACAAGATAGAGCGCACTGGGTTACATATAACCCATTTTACAATTAATCATACACCAGTAAAAGTACAGCAAGATTTGACAAGTTAGAGAATCGGATGTTTCGTTGATTCAAGTCCCGTAAAGTATACACTAGAGGAAGAACCCAGATATTAATCTAATGGAATGAACTTGGAAAAAAAATTTAATGAAATTACGGAAAATAAAGATAGAATGCGTTGTTGAATATTCTGTTATTCTTTCAAATAGATAAGATGGTAAAAACTAGGCGAATAACAGAGGCGACAAAAGTCTATATAAAAATACACATATATATATATATATATATATATATAT